AGAGGCCGGCTGAGAAGGATGTGATCGAGTTTTGTAGGGGTAAATTGCCAAAGTACATGGTGCCTAAGACGGTGGTGTTTCGACAAGAGCTTCCCAAGACATCAACTGGGAAAATTCAGAAGTTTGTGCTCAGAGAAATGGCTAAAGCTATTGGTAGTTCAAAGGTGAGCAGATTGTAGGCGGGTGAAGATGAATTGAGTCAACTCGGGCTGAGTTTTGCGGACCAATATGCAGTTTTATCTTTTTCGGCAGGCCAGATGTACTTGTCAAATATATGTAGCAAAATGGAGTTATTTGCCTAAATAACTCCCTTCACAAAAAAATTCCTAAAATGATTCAATTTCATACTTTATTCCCATAACAACCTTTTCTGTTATCCATCCGATCAAATTCAAATGGAAATGAGAAAAAGGGTAACACCCTTCATTAGCCACTAATATAGTCCAAAAATCCCCTATATAACTATAATACTCTAATCTAAATCTATTTTCTCCTTTCTGACTATAATACCCTACTCTGCTTTTACTTGTCACTCTACTGTCCAAAAAAATCTTGAATACTTAACATAAATATGACAATATTTCCAAACATGTGAGCAAAAGTCTTGAATACCTAACATAAACTTGACAATATTTCCAAAGATGAGAGCAAAATCTAAAATCTGACTATTTTTTTTTGTGATGCTTTCCTTCTTATTAAGAAAAAAAATAAAGAAAAACTCACTACAAATCCAAGGAAACTGGAATTATCACCAAATGCGAAAGCAAAATCTAAAATTTTGATTGTTCATATCCATTCCAATTGCAAATAATTTTCTCTTTTTGATGCTCTCTTTCCTATTAAAAATAAAAAAGAAAAAGGAAAAACTCACTACAAATCTAGCAAAATTGGAATTATTAGTATGTTTGTACAGAACTCTCCATCACTTATTCATTCAATTAACTCTTTCCGGAGTTTTAGTTTTGATTTTGTAATACTTCATTGAACCGAACTCATTGTGCATGTGCCAATATGGAGGGAATAGCATGTAGGGCTGAGGAAAGGAGTCTTATGCTTTTATTTTGGATGGATACCCGTGAGTCTAGAACCTCCTATGTTAATAACGGTGGTAACGAGAATTTAATTGAGTTTGAAGAATTTGATTTAGAAAGCATGGAGGTGGCTGCTCCATATTAGGGGATAAGGTTAGAAGATTAGATTAGTAATAAAATTTGGAGTTGAATCATTGTAAGAATATTTTTTGAAAAAAATGTTATTTTGGCAAAAAACTCTAGCAAAATGTGTTGTCTCAAGCTCGAAGATAAAATTTCATCCGATTATTTTAAGTGATTATAAATTCTAATAATTACGAATAATTAGTTTTTGAAGCGTTCTCGTTTGCTTTATATCTAAATTACAAATTTTTTAATTGTAAAAGATTAAAATTTATAATCGTTCAAAGAATAGTTTTTACTACTAATTTTGATTACTTTTTATAACCATTCAAAGATAATAGTGCGGTCAAGTACACATAAATCATTTGACACCTTAGCACAAAAAGCTACGAGACCGGGCCTTTTGGGTATTGAACACGAGCATTTCCCTTTCATGGCCTTTGAAGTCATCAACCACCCCGAAATACTTTCATGGCCTTTCATGTCCGCGTTTGGTTCCCTATGGAATTGGGGTTTAGAATTGGAATTGGGGCCCTAATTCCAATTCCATTGTTTGGATTCTGCTTCCCTCAAAGAATTAGAATTGAATCTGAATTCTATATGAGTCCAATTCCATGAATTGAATTCTTTACCAGACCAAAAGAATTCTAATTCCAATTCCACAACTAAACGGGTCCATATGCGGATCTAGTATGAACCAAAAATTAAAATCGGGTCAAGGTATTGGCACCCCTATCTAACTCACCGTTTTTCCTCAGCCGCTAGTGCTCTGCTCTCCACCATCGCTTCCACCTGCAACCCTAATATTTTCATATTAGAGAAGTGGACGGTAGAGAAAGGAGCCATTATGGCTAAATATTTCTGGTCTTGAGATTCACTACTGTCAAAGATTAACCATGATTCCGGCCCGAGGGATTGAGGTTCATTGGTTCACTCAAAAAGTGTTGGCAATCCGTGAAGAATTTCAGAACAGGGTTCGAGGAGAGGATTTCGACAAAATCTGCCACAATATTCCTTCAGTAAGGATCCTTCCACCTCTAAATCGTATTTTGATACAGATACGTCTTGAACAAAGCTTTAATTCTGGAAGCCTTTCATTCAGTGATGTAATTTTCTCTGCCTTCTTCTATTTCCCATTGTTCTTGTTTAACTCCATTTTATAGCTTCATCTATCAGAATATATAGTGAGTACTACACTTTTTATCGTTTACCTGCTCCTTCCTTCCTATTCGAATCCATGTTCTGAATACTGTGAGATCCAAGCTGCTTTTCGTATTTACTACTGCAGATGATGCCAAAGAATCTGTAAAGAAGGGAATTCACTTGAGGTGAAAACCTTCTGAAGTTTTTTGACCATGGGCTTATTTTTTGCTTATCTCTGCTGCAGATTGCTGTTAGTTATCTTGATAATTGATATTTTAACCTTTCTGGTCAAGTTGTTCATTTCTTAATGATTGAATGCCTGCTTTTGTTTCTGCTTCCTCTCACTAATTTGTTCTATTGTGACTGGAGTGGGTTTGAATTCAGTTAGTTAAATCGAGTCCAAGTTGCTTCCTCTCACTAATTGAATTGAGGGTTGATATCAAAGTGGGTGGCATATGATTCTAGGTAGTCAATGAATTGTTTCTTGGTGGCGTAATCAGGGTAATAATCAGGGAAGGGGAACTTATTAGCTATCCCGAATAACAAGACAGAAATGAAACCATATCCATTTTATCTTTCATATCCATTTCTGTTCAGGTGGACTTGTTCTAGTTTTGTTTGGCTCATTTCTTGTCTTGTTCATCAGATGTCTAATGACAAAAGAAGTTCCTTTGCACCTGTTTCTCTGGCTCAGTATATCTGATGCTGTCTTCCATACAAACAAAAACTTGGTCCTTAAATTAATCCAGGATCAATAGAATCTTCCCTTGTACTACTATTATATATCATTTGTCTAAATTATACTTCTGCTTCATATGGATTGCTGGTGGTAGTATTTTAGCTTCACTCTGATGGATTTCTGAAAAAGTTTAAATGAATAAGAAATAAGAAATTTTTGGGTTCAATTCCACCAGAATTTGGTTTATTTCTTGGTCGGAATTCTGAATTTTTACTGGATTGTTACTGGAAATGATGGAATTGATGACCCATCCCACTAGTTACAATATGATGTAGTTTTGCAGCATGATATTTATACCAGTTTTCTTCATTGAAAGTGGTACTGAATTCAAGAGAACCAATAGTGCAGCAAACTTTGGCTACCGGACAATAACTTCGTACAACCATATAAAAATGTTGATAGTTTTCTAGAAACTAATTAAGTTTCAGCTTTTGTTGGTGGCTGGAAGATTCTCCACAGGCTTTTGCTGATGAAGGTGGAGTTCTCCACAGGCTGCAGGAAGACTTGGCTTTTGGTGAAGGTGGTAGCGCAGAAGTTGTCCCCAAGGTGCTTGCATCTCCATGTAGGAGGAGGAGAGGTCTGCCTGACAAATTGGCTGCAACATATCAAAAAGATTAGTAGAGAAAATATAATTTCTGCACGTAGTCCCATTGGATGATTATAGTTAAGTGGGGAACAATTTATAGCATTTCTTGGGATCTAATGCTTTTTTTAAATTGCTTTGCATTCTTTCTCAAAGTTAAGGAGCTTTTGTATAAGTGTTCTTCCTGTATTTTGTTGGTTTTTATCTCCCACAAGTCTGCACACTCACTAAAGAATGGATGACAGATATTATTCTATTTAGCAAGTACTTGACTGTGTGTGAATTGGTCATCTGACAGTCTTAAGTTTTGTATTTTCCAACATCTCCTCCAAAGAAGCTGGTAAATATTAGTACAAAGGTTCGGTCGTGTATTTGTCATATTGTGTTACAAAAACAAGAAGCCTCGGAACTTTGCCTTCATGATTGAGATCTATTCTACATTTTTTCATTTCGTGGTGCACAGTTCTTTATTCGGTAGAGTCATAAATTTTACCCTACTTGATTATCACCAAAAAAGTCGATTTGTATATTTTGTCTTCTTTTTCACTATTTTCTTGGGTCAGGTAATTTGTGAGTAATTAACTGTCCGGTATTCTACCATGTTTTAAGAAATATGCTAGTGTCATTGGGGATTTACTTTTACAGGGTTGAGGTCCAGTTTTGGTTGGATGCCAATATCTATACCATACGTTGAACAAAAGAAATTGACATAAAAGTGGGAAAAAATAAATTATTAAATGCACAAATTGGTTTTTACTTTTAAATCTTTAATAAAAATTAGCTAAATGTAAAGAAAAAAATTATTATATAGAAAAAAGAAAAATTTTATGTAAGCAAATGTTTCATGAAAACAATTCTAATTCCTAATGAATTCTTTTCTCATGCAAACAAAGGATTTGGAATTTCAAATAAATTCCGTATCAATTCTATGCATTTCCCAAACGAAAGAATTGGAATGACTTGGAATTCCAATTCATAGAATTCCAATTCTATAGAATTTTAATTCTAATTCAATTCTAATTCTATAGAACCAAACGCAACCTTAGGGTTCGTTTGGTTCCCCATAGAATTGGGGTTTAGAATTGGAATTGGGGTCTCAATTCCAATTCTTCAGTTTGGACACCGGCAATGCCAGAGAATTAGAATTCAATTTGAATTCTACGAGCCATCAATTCCACAAATTCAATTCTTTGGTAAGACCTAAGAATTACAATTCCAATTCCATAATTTCACCTCCTATTCGGGTTAGTACGCGGATCCTAATGGGTAAAAAATTAAAATCGGGTCAACTATGTGAGCAGCCCTCTCTCGCGATCTAATTAGTCACTTTTCCTCAACCGCAAGTGCTTCTTCTGTGCGTCATCCCCTTCACCGCCACCCTAACATTTTGTCTCTTCCACCACCGTCTCCGGCATCGCTCTGCCACGCATCTACCCATCACTTCAGCAATCGCAAGACTGCTCCGAACTGGGTTCTTCAGTCCGGAAGGTAACAACTAAAAGCTCTCCTTTGCCTTCGATTTTTAACTTTGGAGCATTGAATATTGAATTCTGAATTTCTTTGACTCTAACGGCTATGCCCCTTTCGTGCTCTGATGGCCAGTGATTTGATGTCTCTCAGATCGTACCAGTGAATCGGCCCTCTCACCTTACTTCAGTACTTACTACCTGCTTTGGTAATTTGGATGGGGTGGAAGTCCCTGGGATGGCATTTTTGTTTTTGATGGCCTTGCATGATTTCAATGGCTCGAGTCTTGCCTTGATGTTTGCCTCTGCCATTCATAAAGTTTAGTTTATTAGTGCATGGTTTCGGTGGTAAGTTTGCCCTTCGCTAGGTTTTTCATAACTTACTTGGATGCACAGAGTGTAAGAGGAGGAGTAGATTAGTATTTTATCTTACTTGGAAGAAAAAGAAGAAGGAAATTGGTCCAGAAACTGATCAAATCACTTTTATGCTGCCTGCAACAAGAGTATTTTCTAACATTTAGACTAGACTGTTTTATGATTTCATTCTGTAAGGGAGGCCTACCTCATCGAAAATTTTGTTGAGAACTTCTTATGTTACATGGTCACATATATAAACTTAAAAACTTACATCGAACCAAATGCTTTGGGTCCAAAATGGAAGATAGGAAGAAGGTGTGGAAAATACAAAAAATCAGATTCAGTTTACCATGTACTTTTAGGAATTGGCATTAGGTTACTGAAATTTTGTCATTACTCCCTCAACCATTTAAACATTAAAGGAAAGAAATTGGAACCGGAGGCTCCACAATGTTGTCAAATTTGGTGCCCAATTTGACAAAGCCGGTACATCTACATGTTGGTAAACAGAGGAAGGATCATGGATGGTTTGGACTCAGAATTCTATATTGATACTCGTCCAAGCATGAGTGATGCTGAGGACGCATAGATTACTGTTATCGTTTATTGTACATGTTAGATAATGTAGTGAATTTGGAGAACCTTGGCTTCCAGTCAATAGATAAGTCCTGTGTATGTACGTTGTCGCAATTATTCAACTAGAGTTTGATATATAGATGTATGCTAAAATAGTTTTACCAGCAATTACCAAGGTCTTTTATGTTTTAACTGGTGCTTGAGACTTCTTTGAAGTTGTTAATTCACATATGCATGAAGGTCATTAAGTAAAAATTTGATTTTTGCCTGCAGCTTGGATGTTTGGCATGCTTTGAGCACTTAAATCCACTTTCTACTGACTTATCCTTTGTCTTCTGCATTTTGAGTGATTTAGTAATCTCTCTTTCTGTCAATGTTCACTTGAGCTCTTTGATATATATGGTCTCTTTTTGGGGGAAAATGAACGACATCATACTACTGCTTGAATGGATATGGAATTCAAAATACAGGGGTCATTACTGACTTCCAGTTTGATTGGTGACAGAAATTGGAACCGGAGGCTCCACAATGTAGTCTTGTTTCTAGAAAGAAAGTTTTGTCGGGACTTTTCTGTTTCTTTCTTTTGTTGCAGTGTGCTGGATAGATTTCTAAAATTGAATTGGATAGATTTCAATTGTTGAAGGGTATTGACTTACTTATGAATGACAGGACAAAGTATGACACTTTTTCTGGTCTCGGAGATGACTTAAAAAAGGATTGGCTATTGATGCACATTGGTAATTGATTTTTTTTTGGGTAATCTCCAGTTGAAGTTGTTTTTGTAGAAGAAGTTGAGCTGATTGCTGGAAGCCCAAGTAGAGCAAGTAAAAGTTGTTACTACTCCATCGTGTATCCATGACTTTTTAAATTCTGATGAGTTCTTTTGTCATTTTCTTGTCATTTATTTTTAAGAAAATGAAGAACATATGGAACAAATAGGAAAAGTTCTTGATTGATTTTCGCCGTCCTGCTTAGTTGAATTCATAAACTCTGCTAAGAATGTCTGAGATCTTTATTTGTGAGTCAGTCCTGTGCCTTTGGAAGAATAAACCTACTTGTGTGAGACGTAGCTTGCTGTTGAGATGCTGAAATTTGTTTGCATTATCCATGGTATTCACCAATATCTGATGTTCTTCATATCTAGGTACTTAAGGTATTGACTTATGGACCAGCATTCTAAGTGCTGGATGTGTCATACCATGGAGCTTGCTGTAGGGTCTTTAGTTGGGGAGCAGAGCTGTATGCTTTGGGGTCTTCCTTTTTTGTTGCTTCTGGAAAGTAATTGAGATTGTTTCCTTTGTCTGTCAAGTAAACTGAATTTATTTGTTGAGAATGTTAATTAAATTGTTTTACAAACGTACTATTTGAGTTAATTAGTGACTAATTCAATGTCCAATATTCTACCATGTTTTAAGAAATATGCTAGTGTCATTGGGGATTTACTTTTAAGGGGGTGAGGTCCAATTTTGGTTGGATGCCAATATCTATACCATCTGGAAATGTTCACCAAAGAAATTGATATGAGAGTGGGAAAAAATAAATTATTAAAGGCACAAATTGGTTCTTTCTTTTAAATCTTTAGTAAAAATTAGCTAAATGTAAGAAAAAAAGAAATTATTATATAAAAAAGAAAAAAAAAGAAAAATTTTATGTAAGCAAATGTTTCATGAAAACAATTCTAATTCCTAATGAATTCTTCTCTCATACAAACAAAGAATTTGGAATTTCAAATAAATTCCGTATCAATTCTATACATTTCCCAAACGAAAGAATTGAAATGATTTGGAATTTCAATTCATAGAATTCCAATTCTATAGAATTTCAATTCTAATTCAATTCTAATTCTGTAGAACCAAACGTAGCCTAAATGCCCTCATGATGTATCCTGAGTGAGAGTATTAATAAGCAATAATGAATCCAAACAAATGTTGCTATGAAGCATAAAATGAAGACGGAAAAGAGCAAAATATTTGTGAATTTATGGCATTTACACCGAAAAATCTCCTACTCATTGTGACGAGGTCAGGGCATTGGACTTCAATAATGAACTTCAAACTAGTGTTGCAATGAAGCATAAAAATTAGAATTCTAATAGTCTATTATTAGCAGCTCTATTAACCTTTTTTTCCTTTTTTGGTAATTATTGACCCGCTTTGATTTGGCTAATGGGACTTTAGATGAGAGTCCTCAAAGCCCAATCACATGGTACTTCTGGGGATTCGCCGAGAATTGCAGGAGAAGATTACACTTTGGGGAAGAAAGCATTTTGGCAGATGACAAAAGAGAAACGGAATTCCTTTTCCCCGTAACAACCACTGAGAACAAAGTGCATGGTAAAACGACCTTAATATTGGTAAAGCCACCATAGAGAGAGCCCAACGGTTTACGGTAACAGCCTGGTAGAGAATTGCTAGCAAACAAATATGAGGTGCAAGTTTGGATTGCATTTTTCATGATTTTTCATGAAAAAATTACTGTAGCATTTTGATGTATGTGAGGGAAAAAGGTAATAAGGAAATGTCATCACAAAAAACAACATAATTTTCCAACGGAAAACTGCAATCCAAACAAGGATAATAGTGCATGCACATCTTGGCAGCAATAATAAAATGTTTAAGGAGATGATGAACGCCTAGGGAACGACTGGAAATGACAGCTCCCAGTGGCTCATTGATTTACTCGACGCATCAGAAAGGACATACAAATTAACACAGATATTCCAAAGAAACCCACATTTAACAGGAAGAAACACTTCAAACCCATTATCCAAAAGTTCCTTGTACTGTTAACCAGGCATGTAGAATACAGCATCGTCTCTGATTTGGTGCGCTTCCCATGGAGGGGATAAAACCAAGAGCAAGTTTCATAGTTTGAAACAGAGCCGGAAAGAGCCTCCAAATTGATTTAAGAATCATCCAACACATTAAGAAGTTGGAAACCTGAGAATAATCTTTAGTGACCTATAATTTCAGATGAAACTGTTCCCAGCCATATCAGCACCTAAAAGGCTGACGAAGAAATGGACAGAAAAAACCCTTTATTGTATCACTTAAGTTGTGCTAGCAAGTCAAAAAAAACTACAAAATTGTTGGTATGTGCATTGATGACCAGAAAACAAGTGACCAATCATTCCCCACGGAGAAAACAAACGACCAATCATTCCATAAACACTACTTCCAGAGTGCTCCCTCAATATCTTTGGGAAAAGATCACAGCGAACAGTTCATACTAACATTTCAAGAAATGGTGTCATCGAAAAGCTTCTGCAATTAACTACTGATGCCATATATGAATTAAATCACATTACCTATAACTAATCTATCTACAATCACTGACTAAGTTTGCGATGAGCTCTGTTTCCCATAGCGGTAACACCAAATTAATCCCCATACTAGGAAAAAAAGCACCTTCAAACAGGATACTGTGATCTAATTATCAATCTGCCAAGAGCAACACAATCAATATAGAAGTGTCAAAAGAGCATACTGAGAACTCATTTACAGAAACAAGCACTAAGATTTCTCTGACCACAAAACATCATCCAGGCTGACAAATCACGTCATCGTCAGTAAAAAGACTTCACAAAGGAACACGCTCATCTAATCGCATGGACGACCAACTAGAGTAACATACAGACAGCAAACATTCAACCGATCAACAAGCAACAAAGAAATCCCAAGAACGCAGCATTAAACGCAATAGTGAAACCACATCAAAGAATTGCATTCAATAAACCATACTAACATTCATTGACACCATCAACAATATATAACTGAGTGTAAACATATGCAGTAATATTTGAGTAATACTCAACAATTAGACATAAAGTCAACAACATGAATCCCCCTTGAATTGAAACCCAACACCTAGAAACCCCCCACCAAAGACCAAATAAAATCTCAAGCAACCTCTTTCTGCGGCACGGAATTGAAATCCTTGTTCTTCACCAAATCCACATCGCCTGGAATAGCAATGTATCCAATCTTCTTAGGGCTAGCAACATCGTCTCCATTGTCGTAACCATCATCGTCATCGTCAGAATCGTCAAAATCAAAACGGTGCGGCGAAAACAAAGACCAGATCAAAAACATCGTGGCAGCTGTTAAAGCCCCACAACCCACCCCGAAAAGCAAAGCGCCCACAACGCTCATGATATCCTTAGTCCGATCTCTAATCGAACTCGTGGAGACCGACGAATAAATCCCCAGCGGCATCACCGACGACTCCACCGACGATCGCTGCTGCTTCTCCTCCTCGGCAGCTGGCACTTCCTCGAAATAGAGAGGAAAAGGATTGGCACGGGTGCGACGGAGGGAGAGATAGGAGACATAGGGGCGAGTTTCTTCGCGGGAGTTGACGGTGGTGAAGAAGAAAGTCAAGAATTTCGGGGAATAGGAGTGGAATTTGGGGAGGATTTCGAAGTTAGGGTTTTGACGAAAGGAAGCGGCAGTTGTGGTGGTGGAGGGGTAATAGGAGGTGGTGGTGGTGTAAAAAAAGAGGGTTTTGCAGGGTCTAGCGGTAGCGGTAAGGGAGAGGAGAGAGAGGGAGAGGAGGAATAGAGAGAGGGAAGAGGCAGAGGTGGCCATTGACGCGTTGCCGTCTCTGTGTGTGTGTGTGTGTGTGTGTGTGTCGGTGTTGAAATGAAATGAAAAGGAAAAGGTGGAGGAGGGAGGGTTAGGTAACGTTCAGGTGAAAAGAGTGAGGACTGAGGAGACCGTGGAGTGGGTTAATTTCGGGTCACCTTGCTTGACTAGTATACCTTCTACTTTTCCAAGCGGAACCACAATTTCCACGAAAATAAAAAATAATGTGTGATTTTAAATTCTTATTAAATCCATATTGTGTGGATTTGGCAAAAAAAATAAAATAAAAGAAAAAGAAAAAATGTGCTCGAGTCAATTTGGTACACAAGTCATCTCTTCATTCGTGAATGCGTGAGGTGACCGTCAGTTTTTCTTGGAACGTACAGGTTTGGAATTCTAATACCGCCGTTCCTTTCTCGTTTTTTAAAGGGGTAATTTCAAATACCTCTTTGAGATTTCTGGCAGTCCCACTCTCCTCTCCTTTCTTGTGATTTTAAAAATACCACAAACTTCCCCTAAAATTAAATAGACAGTTTCAAAGTAGATCCAATTCAAAAATACAAACAATAAAAAATGAGAAGTTGGAGAGAGAAACAACTATATACCATAAATGCCCTAATTATCTTGCATCAGTGATTTATCTATATGACTAATACTAATTTGCCTATAATCACTTTACACGGGATGATCTATGAGGTACAATCAGTTTACAAACATATACATTATGTTAGATGTTAGTTACTTTTCTGTTTCTATATTTGTTAAAGGATTCTAATTTATCGTCAGTTATATTAATTGTGTTTATAACTAACTTTACCAAATTTGTCCTGATAATCACGAAATATTAGAGAGGTAGTTTATTTCAATAAGTAGCATGTATATAAATACTTAGTGAATATACAATCTGGTTGAAATAATGTACACTGTATTATTGATCAAATATGATATATATAAATTTGTTGAACATGCAATTATTTGTTCACACGCATATTGCAATTAGTCATCGCAGCAATATGCATAATACAATGGTATGCATACATTTGGAATGATTATTGGTGTTTTGACCCACTTGTGCATCTCCTTACAAGCTAGCTGCAGTAGATATATAATTTTATCTATATGACTAATACTAATTTGCCTATAAATACTTTACACGGGATAATCTATGAGGTACAATCAATTTACAAACACGTACATTATGTTAGATGTTAGTTACTTGTCTGTTTCTGTATTGGTTAAAGGATTCTAATTTATCGTTAATTACATTAATTGTGTTTATAACTAACTTCACCAAATTTGTCATAACAATCACAAAATATTAGCTAACTTATGAGGGTATTTAAGTTTTTTTTGTCATGATGATGTAAGACATGGGATCTAAAATTCTGACAAGAGAGGTTTGTAATATTTTTGAAACCACAGGGAATGAGGGTGAGACTGTCAGAAACCTAATGGGAGGTATATGAAATTATCCCTTTTTTAAATCACACCTCGCTATTGCTAGAAAAATATTTAAAAATTTATTATTTAAACAAAAAGTTCTTTCTTAATTATAATTTTTAGTAAAGGCGCATATATCATATTCATGTAGTATGCGGGTCTAAATAACGAAATTGCGTTCAATTTAGGGATTTGTTGTATTGATTACAACATGTTGGATTCATAAAACTAAACATTTTGACTTGTGCTATACACGGATTTATATTCCAATTCAAAATAATAATATGTACTTATATATTGTTGTACATGATAGAGTATATGAAAAAGAATAAAAATTTTAAAGAAGTTATGCTTAACATGTTAAAAAAAAATTTACTTTATGAACAAAAAATGGGCTTTCTTAATTTTAACATCTTAAATAAATTGAAATCAAGATTTGTTTGCCAATTGTTTGTCAATATATAGTAAGAATTTGAATAACATAATTTAATTTATATTGATTTACATGATAGAATAATTTTAAACCTATCTATCAATAGCCGACACAAATAAATCATGTTATGTCCTTATATAATAAATTATAATATAAAAAACATAAATTATAACTAATTCATTTTTCTCAATTTTAGAAAAAAATTCTCTTCCATCTTGTACCCTTAAAATTGTTGAGCGCTTATAGAATAGTATTTTTCATATACTTTAAAATGGATTGCAAAAAAAATCTTTGTAAGATGCAAAATAAAGTTTCTAAAACTATTAAAAGCTATTATCTTTTTTGTCATTTCTTACCTACCAACTGGCCATTCGCGGCCTTTTATGACTTTTAAACATCCTATCATGGTGCCATCCTTTATATCATTTTTTGTCATCTCCGTCATATTCTCATAATTCTCTTATTTAGACCCTCTTCTCTTCGCACAACTTTGTTGTTTATTTTATTTTTCGACTTTTCTCGCTACTCTTTAATTTCTCACCGTTCTCTTCTTCTCTGGCTCTAACTAACCCCGCCCCGTTGCCTATTAATTCCCCCTGACCCCCGCCCTGTCCCCTGCCTCCCATTCCTCCCACCCCGCCCTGCCCCGCTTCCTCCGCGGGGTTAATAAAATTTTTCTTGCGGGGTTAATAAAATTTTATTATAGTTAAATTTTAATAAATAATCAAGTACTAAAATATCAACACATCATCAAGTTATTATTCATTGTAATTTTACAATTGAAAATCATAAAAACAATCAAACAAAAGTTATTTGAATACAATCCAACATGATGAAATAAATACAACTAAAATAGTTAAGTTTTCACTTTTGGTACAAAATACAATCACTAATTCATTATTGTGTTTGTGTTTTTTTTTTTTTGAGAAAAAAGTGTTATTCTATTAAGTGTAATTAGAAATTTAATATAAATGTATTAGTAAATTTAGTATAACTAATTAATAAATTCTATTAGTAGACATGTCTAATTATTCGTATAATTGATAATATCAATTATATTATATGCACTAATATATATTATATAATACATCTAACTAATAATATCATTATTATAAGTTTATAACTAATTAAATTACATATTATATATAATTATATATATATTTATATATATAATTTTTTTTGTGGGTGGCGGGACGGGGGATGGGGCGGGGGTATACTCCCCCGCCCCGTTTCTAAAAGGGGGGAAAAAAATTCCCCCCCACCCCCACCCCCCACCTTGAGAACCCCCCGCGGGCACCCGTCCCCATTGCCATCCTTAGCTCTAACTTTCAATTCTCACCACTTAATTTCTTATCCCTTTTTGCTTATCATTCTCCCAAGCCCTTGGATAGCCCCCAACCTCTATCCCGCATGGCTAACCTCCTTCATTTCCCTTTCCTCTATTTCTCCCTTTTTTCTTCTACCTGTCCAATCAAAATAAAAGTAATATTATAATTTTTCATTCGAGATATATTATATTATAAAAATTTATAGTTTTCTCTTATACACTTATAAGAATTGCATACATATATATGTATATAGCAGGCTCGGTATGTGTTGGAATTTTCTTTTTTGTAATAATTGTGATTGGCATTTCTCACATCTATTGGTTTGAGAGTCCTAAGATTTTCATTTTTTATTCAAAATATAAGTTAACATATTGTCAGTGTTACACTATTATAAAGTGAATTTGGTGAGTAAAATATGAAAATGAAAATTCAATACAAAAGTATAAAAACACCAAATTTAGTTATTTTCCATATACATTTTGAATTGAATAACTTCAAAGTTTCAAAGGAGAAGTTGAACACATATTCTATTGTTATTTTTTGAAATTTTTTGCAAAATTGGTGTTGTTGTTTATTATTATTTTTTTGTCAAAAATAAAGATTTCAAACAAAATTTTCATATCTAAAGGCTAATAGTACTTTGTCTTTTAGTTAGTGATTTCATAATTTAGGTTTCATGAATGGTAATCATTCTTGATTTTTTTTAAATCAATGAGCAACGAACATTATTTCCTTTTTATTTTCTATATAATTTGCCCTTTTAGTTAGAATTACTGAGTTGAAGGGTAAAACATTATTATTTACTTTTTTTACTTTTAGTAGGTTTGGTGATGTTTCCTTTTTATTTAGGCTCACATTAATAGATTTCATATCAAATTTCTATGTAAGCGGAGCCACTTCTTGCTTTTTAAATTCAAAAGACATGAAAAGATATATAATAATTTAAAAAAGTCAAAATTATATTAAAAAAAAGAATGAATAATTGGAAGCATTCTAACTTGACCATACTAAAAACCCTTTCTCAGATTTATACCCGTATAGATTAGATTGAGAATTATGATTTTTTTTTTGGGGTTGCGTCCTATCATTGATCCAAAAGATAGGTACAAAAATAGGGAACGGTGAATTGAAACAGTCAAAATTGGCTTTGATGGAGTCCATATGTATACCCACGTTAGATTGAATTTAGCTTCATCCTAGATTTTATTTTTTCATAAATAGACAGATGTTCACATTTTAGCCTAAAATTCAATCCATCACTACAATTTTCGGTCCGTCTGGATTGCTATTTTTAAAATTTTTTATATAAAATGTAGTGTAATAATATGATATATATATAAGGTTAAAATATAATTAAAAAATGTGTTCATGAATAATATAAAATTTTTTATTAAAAAACTACAATCAAAATCTGTTTTCTATTTTTTTTAATAGAAAAAGGCAAGTAACACCACTAATTTAGAGCGTCTGAAGTCTTCCTAGTTGCTGCTTTCTGCTCTGTACATTGAACAGCAGTCAAATACAAGTACTAGCAAACACGTTGTAGTTGCCCAAACGGAAAAAAAAAAAGAGAATAATACCCAAATTCATTCAAAGATGCAGAAAGGATAACAGATTCTACTAATAAGTTATCCCTCATCCTTTTATCTATAGTCTACATGGTGTTCATCTTATTCAGTTTTCCAGCACGATTGAATATTCACAGCCACCCTTCAATCCTGGGTAATTATCCATAGTGTTTTTTTTTTTGACCTCGATTGTCTCCTTTTATTTTTTTATTTAACATATAGTCAAAAGAGCCT